AGCAAGCCCACTGCAATGGGTGTCCTTCAACATCATTTGGCAAGCCCACTGCAGACTGAAGGTGCGGCAGTTTAACGGTGAGGCCGGATTGGGTTTTGGGAGAAGCTGGCTTGCTGGGTCTACGGCAAGAGGGGACACTGGGTACTCTTTCTCCTGGAAGCCCATCCCAAAGCCACCAGCAGATGAGATGGGAATGATGCAGTGAGGGAGGTGTACTGCACGGGTCTGGGGTGGCGCCCTCAAACCACCCCTGTTAGCCCACTGGTCCTCCGTCCAAGGTGACTGAGACCAGAATAGGCAGATGCTACTATGGACTCTGACCACTCATCAACCAGCAAGGGCTCTCCGCTGGCTAGCTGTGAGGAGCTGCAAGGTGTGCTGCAGCTGCAATACAGCAGGACTGGGATCGACTGCCAGTGTCGGCAGAGCAGGGGCGGCGCTAATCGGAGTAACTGCGCGATGGGCTGGCCAGCTGGGAGCGGAACCGCCAGAATCAGCCGGCCAAGGCTGTGGAGATGTGTCTCCTTGACTGAGAGGAGGCGTGTTGTGCCTTAGAGGCCCAGCTGACGAAGGAGAGGCCGCGTGGGTCCATGGAGCAAGGAGCTGCTGTGTTGGGAGTGCAGCCAGCAGGAGCAGGAGGCCGAGGCTGTACGCCTCGACCGTGTGTCTCGCTCTGGATGCCCAGATGACTAGGGAGCACCATGAGCTGGAGGAGCAGCACGGCCAGTACCAGCGGGACCTGGAGCTGGTTCCCCTCAACAGCGTTCGGCAACATTGTTTGATCTGTATTGGGAGCAGGAGGAGCAGCAGGTTCCTGCTGCTGTGATGCCTGCATCTGCAAAGTACCACGATAGTATATTGTATCCATAAATCTAGCTTCTAGAATTTTTCTCTTCATGGGGCCCCTAGTTTTTGGGGCCCCCAGGAGGCTGCCTACCCTTGCCTTATAAGTCTGCCCCTGGGTTAGGGCAGATGGTATAGAGCACTGAAGGATTATGGGACTGCATGGTGCCACCATCCTCTCAGGAAAGCAATTGCAGTCTAATAATACAGCCCCTGTATAGAAAGTCCATTCAGAGCCTTTTCACAGTCTGCCTGCATCCAGGAAGGACCTTCCGTGATGTCACACCCTCCCAATGGCTTTTACCTTAAAAGGAAATGCCACAAACTTTTTTTCTAAATATTTGAAAAAATTATAGATTTGACTCAAGTTGTTTGAATCACCATTTCTCTCTATATTGTTCCATCTGTTGTGTACAGATGTCGTCAGAAAGTTAGCAGGTGCCAGTCAATCAGACATCCACTGTCTGTAGAACTGGAATCAATTCTGTGTGTTTTAATTTATGAATATGCTTGTAAATATTGTTTCAGCCTAAGGGTGGCATGGTAGTGTCCCCCATCCAGAGACCAGAGTTTGACTCCACTCCAGCTCTATGCGTGTATGGAGTTTGCATGTTCTCTTATGTCATCAGGGGGTTTCCTCTGGATTCTCCAGTTTCCCTCCCACAGTCCAAAAACATGCTAAGGTGAACTGGAGTTGCCAAATGGTGGATGCTATGTGTGCCCTGCACTGGTGGGTTTTTCCCTGCCTTGTGCCTGTGATTCCGCATGAGAAAAGAGGGTATGGAAAACAGATGGATGTTTCAGAGTAACATCACCCCGATTCCCAAATATTTTATGCGATACCTTTAAAAAAGCAGCAGATGGCAGTGTAATGATAGCTGTTTGCTCAGACACACTCATGTAAAACATCTGGCTCTGTACGAGGGTAACATTGTACATCTCATCTAAAGGTAAACTTAAGTAATATAATGCTTAGATATCATGAATACAATGTCGATATCAATGGTGATATCTGTACAAAAGTCACTTGTGTACAAATTGAATAATGATATTTTATTCATTCCTGTGGGGAAATAGTCTTTTTGCCTGCCCAATGCTGCCCTCCATTAGACACACGCACAAGAGAGAGCGAGTTTGGGGGAGACAGTGCGGGGGCAGATAGAGTTCAGTTACCCTGGAGCAACTAGGGATTAAGCACCTTACTCAAGAATGTGATTCAAACCAGCAACCTTCTGATCACAGGCCTGGAGTCCTCTAAAAAAATGTACTGATTTATTTAGCATAGGTGTTTAACATTAATATTATCGTTAGGATCCCTCTAATCCTGATGACACAATGCCAGTTGTTTTTAAGTTACATGCATAAAATATGAGCAGAACCAATTTGACTGAATAGGAATAAGACTCCCTTCATCTGCAATAGGGGGTCCATTGTGCTGCTGTAACCTGTTGTCCTTCAGTTGTCCATTTCTGTCTGTTTACCAGTCAAACCAAAAAACTGTGGGTATACATTCTGTTTTTGTTGACGTTTTTATATGGTTAACATTACATTGTCTTCTATTTACTGGGAAACATACCATATGGATTTCTCCTCGTGACCTAAAGTAGGGGCTCTCAGCCGCCGTGGTCCACAACCAGGATTCCCCCGGACCAGGGGGTAAACTGGCTGTGAGAGCCGAACCTAGAGGAGTTCATCTAGGTGACTGTGCCCTACGCCTTAGGCAATAAGAGAGATACACCCCATATCCAGACAAGTCTCTCACCTGATAATTCCTTCAATTTTCTGAACCTGATTTTGGAAATGAAAACAAAAAGGAGCAAGAAAAAGACAGAAACCATGACTGAAAGCAGGAGGGAACTGTCTTTATGTTTTACATATGGGTGCATTAAGGCCATTGGTACCCTGGCAGGGACCCTCAAATATGTAAAATTCTAAGGCTCTAAGATGGTGGGGGTGTGGGGCTAAATGTTACTGTCAAGGAATCCCCTAAACCCCCCTCCTCCAGGGGCCTTCGAATTTCTAGCTACGCCCCTGGTTACAAACATTATTCATATACAGGATGACTGTATGCTCACACTATGCAAGAACTCGGCAAACACAAGCCCCGGAAGAGCATGCTGCTGCTTGGTATCCTGCATGAACCTGTCCATCCGAGGAGGGAAGAAGAAGGGGAACCAAAGAGCCAGATCGCTACAATTTCCCAGTCCAGTCCTTGGGGACCCACAGCCGGTCCACATTTTCGCTCCCTCCGAGCTCCTTGCCAGACAGTCCACATTTTTGAGGGAGCAAAAACTTGGACTGTCTGTGGGTCCTTGAGGACTGGGCTGGGAAACACTGAAGTTGACAAAACAAAGGCCACACAAGTAATCTGTGGCAGCAACAACATTGCACTGGTGGCTAGTGCATGTACTTTGTGCTATACTGAAAATGGTTCTTTCTGCAGTTGTCAGATGAGCTACATCTGGGAATTTTACTGCTAAGGATGGAATCCATATCATACTACATCAACATTGCACATCTCAGACATGGGAAAACATGATTCTGGTGGCGACAGGGTACAATAGCAAATGACAAATGCTGTCACTTTGAGTCAGACCCTGCCCTTTCCTGTAATCAGTGTCCTCCAGCACAGTGTCTTAAGCCGGACAGTCAACATTTTTGCTACAGGGGGCTAGAAGGGAGCAAAAATATGAACTGCTGTGGGTCCCTGAGGACTGACTTGAGAAACACTGCTCTAGCAGAGTAGGATCAGCTCTTTTGTGTGTATAATGTGTGCTTTTTAGAAACTTTTTCATGAACGCCATGAATGCCTCACTATATCTAGATCAAGCCCAGGAAATGCATTGCCATTAAAAAACTTGACCTTAAAACAGCCTCATTTATTAGAAAAGTTCTAACAACAGTCAGTCAATCCATCCATCTTCCAACCTCTTATCCTGGACAAGGCTGGCGGTGGGGGTGGGGGGGGCTGGAGCTTTTCCCAGACAGGGGAATATCCTGGACAGGATGCCAGTTCCTTAAAGTAGTTCTTCCATTAAAGAGAATTCAAAAGCTGCAATTAAAGAACAATAATGCAGTAATGGCAACACTGGTCATTTTTGGAAGGTGTCAAACAGAAGACCTGAATTTAATTAATTAAATTCTAATGATCTGGACTTGAATAACAAAAAAGGGGGCAGCACAGTGGTTAGTACTCATACCTCTGGGACCTGGGTTCAAGTCTCTGCCATGATGCTGGGTGTGTAGTCTGCATGTTCTCCCTGTGCTATTGTGGGGTTTCCCCCCGGCTCCAGACCCCTTGTGACCCAGAAAATGGATGGTTGGATACCAAGAAGTGAAATATCTTTGTTCATAACCACTTACTCAACACAGGGTTGTTGTTGTAAACCTGGAGTCTATCCCAGAAGGCAGAGGACACCCCGCATGAATTGCTTGTAAAGAAGCCTTACAAACCAGGGAGTGTGTGGTTTTTTGCATGATGGATGCAAGCCCATGTCTGAAAGGTCCAGAGTAATCATATCAACGCCGGACCCTTGAGCTAGGCCCTTAACCCTAACTGCTTCTGGGGTGCTTGATGCTGGCTCTGACCCCAAACTTTCATCTGTCCTTTTTAGACAAAAGCGTCCACTAAGTAAATTTAAGTCCATTTATCTTACTTGATCAAGGGCAGACACACGTTCAAACTTTGCAGTAACTGTTAAAAGTCACTAGATGGCGTTTCGTGGCGTGTATTATCTCCCAAAAATATTCGAATGCATCTCCAATGACGAATGTGTAACTACACAGATGGTAGTTAACAGCACAACTGATATTTAAACTAGAACCGCAAACGATTTTCATATATGCATTTAAATAATACACTTGTAGCCCCTACACAAAGCCCTACCCAAAACCAGACCAGAGAACAGAATGTGTGTCACGATGGAACTGACAGTGGTATTTAGGCACGAGCTGAGGAGTGCTTATTAAGAGTTTATATATTAACCAAAAAGATAAATACACTATACAGGAAATTAGTAACACATGTAACCAGGTGCAGTAAATAATAAAACTCAGCCGTATGCATTTTTCCAGGAGATCAAGAAAGTATTGCGTGGCCTAAAAATGTTTTATTTTAGGGACAAAAACACATTTTCCTCTATTGGTTGTAGTGGAGGTAATATTCAGATAGTCGGAAGAGACACACACGTTGTTAGCTTTGTAACTTCTCCAGGCAGCACTGCTCAGATGGAGGCAGGAGCGTTTCCCGGTCCCACACGGGGCTCCTCCTTTTTAAAGCTCGGCACCCCTCGCGAGCCGCTCGCCTCATTGTTTTGCTCCAGCATTAACTACATTCCAAAGGGACGCAGCGCGCCCTGGTCTCCTTCCTCGCATTCTTTCCGCAGAAACGAGTCCCGAGGTCCGTATTAACGATAAAGACTCCCGCCTGCCGGAGCCGGGCCGCCTAAACCGCCGGCCTGTTTTCAGAAGTGCCCCAGTGATTTATTTCAAGCGACTGGGAATGCCATGCAAGGAGGGTTTTTGAAGAAGCTGTGAAACCTACACGGGAGGGAGAGAGCGGGGGGGAAATTCCTCCGCGCAGCGCGCCATTGACTGTAAAAGACCTTTCAACTAGTCTGAAATTGACAAACGTCTGGCTCTTTGGGGGGAAGAAGGGTTTTGTGCGGGTGGATTTTCATCTGGATGCCCGAATGTCGTGCTGTGCGCTAATCTGATCGGAAAGGGAGCCGCTTTCTTTTTCTTTCTCTCTTTTTTTTTTTTTTTTTTTTTTTTTTTTTTTTTTAGATGATCCGACGGGCTGCGCTTGGGATCCGACACATGCTTTTTGATTCCCCATGTGAAGTGGAATTGCTGCGAACTCCAACTCTGTAGTTTTTAGACACGCTTCCCTCCGCTCGCTCGCTTTGCTCCTCGGATGCAAAGCAGGGAGGGGGAAGGAAAACCCATGGCCAAGTACGTGGAGGATGCGGCACTGGCCGCAAGTAAGTTAATGGAGGATCTTTCTATATACGAGGGCACGTACAGTTTGAGGAGAGACATGGTCATTCACCCGAATATGGATCTGATTCCCGAGCAGAAAAGTAGACGGATGAATGGCAGTCCCTCGGCTCCTCAACAGGTCCACGCGTTTGAGAATTATCCCCCCGGGAATAAAGTTTATAACGCGTCGCCTCTGCGCTCGGCCAATGGAAACCGATTGGTCCCCCTGGATTTTTGCCCGACCCAGAGGGATCCGGTGTACTGTGAGGATGGCCATTGTACGAAGTCCGAAGTGGCCCTGCCGTGCTACGGTGGAGCACCGGAGCGTCACCGGAGGTACTCCTTGGAGGTCCAGGGGCATCGGTGCAGCGGCGCGAGCGCGTACGACAGCGTGCAGCTGAACAAACCGGCGCCCTTCCCTCCTTTCGCCGGCAGCAGGACCGGCACTGTCTGCGTTGGAACCGGTCAGGACGGCAGGTACGGCGCCACGAGCCCCCGGTCCAGCTTGGCGTCCTCTCTGTCCTCCCAGGATCAGAGCAAGCACCCAAGCCCGAGGTCCAGCATCAGCAGTCCCCGGACCAGCCTGGTCGTGCCGGGTCAAGACAAATTTGCAAGCCCTCGCTCCAGCCTGGTGCAGTACGAGGGCAGCGCAGCTCTCAGCCCCAGGTCCAGCTATGCAAGCACGGCCAGCGACACCAGTAAGCATTCGAGCCCCAGGGCCAGTCTGAACAGCTACGACTGCAGCAGCAAACCCAGCAGCAATCGCACCAGTGGCATCAGCATGGGATATGACCAGAGGCATATCAGCCCGAGGTCCAGCACTGCCAGCCAGTACTCCTGCACCACCAGCCCCCGGTCTAGCTACTCCGATTCTAGGTACATGCCGCCGGGAAGCAGCGATCTGGAAGGTGCTGTGACACCCGGCTTACCCGCGGCGAGCGCCGGCATGGCCGCCAACTGCGTGCTCAGCCCCCGCTCCAGCATTTCCAGTCACAGTTCCCGAAGTTCCCGCAGTTCGCGCGGCTCCATGAGCACGTACCCGGACCTACAGCTGCCCTCGCCGCGGTCCTCGCTGCTGGCCACCGGTTTGCTGGAGGACGCCGTCGCCCCGGACTTCGGGGACCCGAGTTTCCTGCACGGCGTGCCGCATCAGCAGTGCACCCAGGGGGCATTAATCTCCGAAGCGGCGGCTTCTCTGCAGGCGCCCTTTAATTACAGCAGCCCCACGAAAAGCTCGACCCCGGCCCAGAGGCTTAAGTTGCCGTACCAAGTTACCCCATGCCGAGAGGCTGGCCCCAGCCAAGCAGAGAAGAGATTAGAGGAGCTGACGCTGGAGCTCGAGAAGGAACTGGAGATGCATATGAAAAAAGAATATTTTGGTAAGGGTCATGCTTTTTTTTTTTTTTTTTTTTTTTTTTTTTTTAAAACATACATTCTTTCAGCATCACAAGCACTTGCTAAGGATAGTAATACTTTTGAAAGCAGTACTGTGCGTGCGTGCAGATGATTCTGTGGCATAAATTATCCGATTGACTCTCCGACAAATATAATGTTACTGCCCGTAAAATCTCCTGCAGGCACTCGGTAAACTTGCAAATACGTGAAGGTGGGGGCATGTAAAATATCAAAACCGACGTTGCATTGTTGTGATTTTAAGAGGCATCTGATTTTTTTCATTGCAATTGTATTACATGCATTTGAATTCAGTATTAATTTACCTGAAATCCTACCATAGTGTTAGGAAATGCAATGGAGAACTAAAGGCCTTCCTCACAAATTTCTTGCGTGCGGCAACTGTTTGCAGGATGCTCCTTAAAGTTCAGATCCCCGCCGAAGTCCCATCCCCCATGACAAAACAAATAAGTTTTCTGGAAGAAGCTGTGGTAACCAGGGCAACCACCTAACAACTTTAGACTCCGCATCCTCCCACAAATTACTTCAAGAATAAAAGAGAGCGATATCACATCTTATATATATATATATATATTTTTTTTTTTTCTGCCTTTGTATACATCCTCGAATACCATAGAATGTTTGCAATTGGCAGATTACAGTTCATCCCTTTTATTAATGGTAAACTTGAGCACATGTAGAGTTTCCACAAAACCATGGGCTGCATGTCCATTACCTCCATTTATAAATATCCAAACATTTCCCTTACAGTCATTTGTCCATTATAATACACCATAGCAACACGAATGATTCTTTGGGTCAGAGTTGAATTATATGACACAGGAGTAGGTAATTTTCACATGAAGGGTAAAATTACACTTTCAAGTGGCCAGGGACCTATTTTTGTGATTCAGGGGTTGGAAACTTTGAAGCGGTGGAGCTCAGCCCTTTGCGTGCCATTTCAGACGAACGGTGGTATTTGGAGGAAAATTGCGAGCGTCTGAGCTGTCTCAGCCCTTCCTGTGGTTTTGTCGTAGCCTGGCATCCATGTGTGAGCACGCGGCGAGTCGTCGTGGAGTTTTCTGGGAAGTAATAGGGCAGGTTTAATTTCCATTTTGCTGGACTGAGCCCTGGAGTGCAGGTGATGATCCACACTTGGAGATGCCTTCACCTGCCTCGTTTGAGCTGAGGGAGATATCTGCCAGACTGACTAAAATGACTCCCGTTTGTCTGTACTCCTCATTACTTTTTTTTGCTTGCCTCATGCCTTTTTTTTTGTTTTCAAAAACTTTTTACACAGCTCTATTTCACTGGAATGATTTCAGGTCAAATGTTCTTGGTCAGGTGTTCTGGAGCTGGGTGCTTCTAGGTCGCGGACAGTCAGCTTTTAGGGTACGAGTCCCTGTCCTTGACATCTACACTGTATCCGCAGCCTTTTTTATGAAGTGTTACATTCCCAAACACTTTCCCAAGAGTACGGCCCCTACAGAAGGATATTATCTAAGCGTCTTATCTTATGTTGTTTAAGCTTTTAAAAGAATGTAATAATTCTGAGTGTTGGATCTGCAAGCATAATATCTATCAACATTCCATCAGTCTTTCTGAACATTAATTTCTGAAAACAACCCCAGCTGCCAGAAAGAATATTAGCAATATAATTGCTGATATTTATGGTTTATCTTTGCTATTAAGCCGTAATTTTCTATGGATTTGACTGCAGATCCTGCACATTTCTGACCAGCAGTGCCTCTGCAGAGCTGAACGTACAGTTAATTGGTTTTATTTTGGGACAGAGTAACTGATTGTGAGATTGCAGCTGTATTTGACATTTGTTCTGTCTCTAATTATAAAATTGTGCTCCTTAGCATTGAGCTTGTGAGAAGCTGCCTTCCGGGCAGTTTGGCTGCTTAAATCTTTGAGTACTGCCTTGAAAGTAGGGAAAACTTTTCTTTTATTGCATCAGTCTTGTTTGCGAAGGCTGCTTCTGTTGTCCCCTTGGAACATGTCAGCAGGAAGGCATGCAGCTTGCCGGATATTCAGGGCCGACAGTGAGTGATTCGCTGGTTGGGCACCCAGGCTAACTAGAGCTTTAACAGTCACCTCTGAAGAGCAGCTGGCTTCTGATTGGTGGGATGGAACGCCAGGTTGCTGTGACCCTGCCAGGTGGCCAATCGGCTTGGCTCGATGTTGTTCCTGAGCTGGAGTTAATGCCAGTAAAAGCTGGCAGTGGAGGGGCGGGGCGGGGGTGCCGCTTTTGGGCACGCCCAGTCCTTGAGGAAATGAGGGTTTGGAAGCGGTACGGTCGAATTTGACGGGAGGCTGCCAGAGGCCCCCGCCCTTCCCAACCCCTGAATAGCTGGACAATCCTACACATGACACCGTTGGGCTATTCAGGAGAAGGAAGGCACTACTGTTTTTGTGAAAGCACTCAACACGAGTTCCTGTTCCCCTTTTATTTACCCGTAAAACTTTGTGCCGATCACCTGTTAGTGTTTAGCAGGGCGCTTTGCCTTTGGCACCTCCTGAGGGTAGTGGGCTCAGGCGGCCGTTTAGGTGTTGGGTCGTGTTCTGCTGTGCGTCTCGCTGAGCCGCCTGACACTCCCAGCACCGATCTTGCTACATTGGAGACGTGTCTGGGCCGATCCAGGGCCTTCATCTGGCCAATAATGCACCTGACAGCTTATTGAATTTAAGGAATTAATGTTCTCATTTTCCTGCCGCATATCCTGTTAAGGGTCCCCCGTGTTAAATATATTAAACATGAGTTGGGGTACAAAGGGGTGATAGGACCAATCATATTTTTAAAAAGACTTTCAATAAATGAGTGACGTATATCTGTCTGAACACATTGGCTTACAATGTGTTCATCCATCCCGTGTGTCTGCAGTAACACGAATTGTAACAATTTGCGGGGTTTATGTTATGAATTGGTAGAATTGTGGGGATGTTTTGTCCCGTTTATTCACAGCTAGAAAGTCTAACTCAGAGCTGTGACCCTCACAATGAATTTAAAGGAAGACGGAGCTCTCTCATTGAGAGGTCCATGTTGCCGGTCTGTGCGCTCAGTGAATGGGGGGGGGGGGCGGTTTGATGGCCCTTACATTCACCCCCCTAACATTTAAATAAGCCACTGGAAGCTGCTGTGTTCACGCTGGACTCCCTGTTCCAATTCTGCTGTTGCCTGTCAGGCGATTTTTCTCCTTGGTGTTTTTTCCCTCCAGTTTACTGTTCCGGGATGAGGACACAGCTTCTCAGGGACAGGATCCTGTAAATAATTAATCGGTAGGGCAATTTTACTTACACAAATATGCTGCCCCCCCCCCCCTCCCTTAAATTCCTGTCTGTAATGAATTGACAGCACGGACCAGCAGTGACTATAGGACACTAGGCAGCTCGATGTCTCCTGCATTCTCCCTCACGCCCCCACGCATAACAGTTTGTGAATAAACAGCTGTCTGGGCCAGACGGGGCTGGAGTGCAGGGAAGTTGCAAAGCCCCCCCATTAAGCACTCAATGGGGGGGGGGCATTCAGGCTCAGGCAGCTGGCAGAGGACCACATCTCGTTAGCCAGACCAAACTGGGTGGGAGGTAAACTCTGTTCACCTGCACGGAATAGTAATCGTCGTACCAACGCACGCCATCGTCACTGCCGTGTTGATGACTCCCCTCCCCAGCCCCTGTTATTAATATGGCTGACTGCTTCTGTTGTGGGGCCGAGTCTCCATGAATGGCGCCGCTTCTCAGTCGCGAGGGAGCGCGTGGTGTTGTCGGCGCGTCCTGCTGAACGCTCCGGTGCGTGGGTGATGACGCGGTGGCATTCCGGACCTGCCGCCCGGCGTATCCCTGCCCACGGAAAGTGGACGGAGGAGCAGCTTTCGTCCAGGCTTTCTTCCCGATGTTCGCTGGACCTTCTCTCTCTTCAGCATCACTGGCTGGACGTCCTCCTCCTCAGTGGGCCAACAAAAGCTCTTTGCTTTGAATGTCCATCTTGTCGGCGCAGCATGAGCAACCCACCCCCGCCAACCTTTATTTACATTAATATGCCCTTCCTGTCACTGCCCTGGGAATTTATGGTGCGGCTAGAAAAATCTGATCTTCTCCAAATGTCCAGTAGATAGTGAACACGACTCTCTGGTAAGGGCCTTTTGCATTTGTAGAAATGAGATTCCGAGTCTATAACATCTCGATATGACCTGCGGCCGGTTGCTGTGGAGTGAGCCTGGGTCTTTGCCATGTTAACTGAAGTTTGTTGTTCTCAGGAAGTTTCTTTTCCCAGTCATGAATATTTTAAATTCCACTCCATGCCCAGGCCTTGATACCCTGAAGGAGGTATTCGGACCTGACACTGGTATCCGCCCGGTGATGTAATACGCTCTAGCATAAGAGAAATGTGGCCATGCCTGCTCTTCCCTCACCTAACGTGGCGTGTTTGTGTCATGGTAGGTTATTTGTACCGGTAGCGGTGAAGCGACTCGGCATCTGGACCTCAGTTGTCCACCCTTCGCCTACAAGGGCGGATGATGGCGTGCTGCTGTCCTGCCATCCACGGCTCGCTCCTTACTGCCTCCCAAACCTGTCTGAAGGAGTCCTCAGTACCACAATGCACCACTTCCTTAGCCAGCTAATTAGGGTCATGTGACGGTCACAATCTGTGATTATGGTATTCCCACTGCGGGTCTTTAAACCTTTTAAACAAAGGGGCTCTAAACCGAAATACCGTTATATACATACTGCTTACATGTATATTTAAGATTCCATCTTTGTTAATCTCAGCCTTGTCCCTTATTTCTCCTGATGTTTGCCTCTTTTCCAGTTTAATCGTTTGATTGTAAAGAAAATTAAATGCACCAGTATAGTTGCTGATCCATTAAGTCCTGCATTTGTTGAGGGTAATAATGAATGAAAAAAATCCAAACGAATAAATTCCTAGCCGAGAGGGCGGTTATTTAGGTTCTGAGGTTAATTAAGTCCAAGAAAGCCATGAAAT